CAGTTACTTTCGTTTGGGAAAGTTCAGTACACACTCCAGGCTCTCGTACCCCCCTCACTCTAGCCTGCGGAGGGAGATGGAGGAGGCCTGTCTGTATTCCCACTTCATTTCCTTGTCGCCCTCTGCTCGGGGCTCCTTCTGGGTTGGGATAGGAAGATCAATGATTAGAGGGAAGGACACAAAGGCTCCTGTGGTGTGATGGTCAGTACCCAGTGCTGTGACAGCCATCTGTGGGGATCATGGGACTTGGTTAGAGCCTCTGACGGGGTTTTGCTCGCAGTTCCATGATGTATGTGATTCTTTGTCTCACCACCTGTAGACTCACCCAGAAGTCCACTCACGACCTCTTACCCTGGGGTCTCCCTCCTTGCAGGTAGTGCTGCTGAGGAGGAGCCTGCTAATGAGCTCAAGTCTCACGTTCAGGAATCTTGGGGGTACTCCCTGGCCCCAGGGAAACAGCGCCCTGCCTGAGGTGAGCTGCTGAGCCCTCACTCCCCAGCTGTCTTTTAAAGTCCCCCTGTAGTCTCTGCCTTCGAATTTTTCAGAGTAAAGCAGTTATGGATCCTTGTTTACTTAAATTCTTAAGCACATGTCAGTTCCTTCTGAAAATTTCCCAGAATTAGCCTTGGCCGGTGGGCTCTTGCAGACATCCAGGTTGTGTATAGGATGCTTATACAGTCCCCTTTTCCTGGAGCCCCTCCTGTTTGAGAGGATGGATACCCACTTCCTTTTCTTCCCATGTGTTCTTAACAAGGTCACTTTGCTCCTTCAGTGACTCACTTCTGTGGACTCTTTTCTAGTTGGATCTCCACCAACTTCCATCATGCATTGAACAGTTATCCACTCTTGTTTCCTCCATTTCTTATCCCCGGCGTCTCCACCTCCATGACGGGGAAGTGCTTTACTTTGCTTGGCCAGGTTGCTTGGTGTCCTCCTGGCCCCCATTCTCTCTCAGCATGCCATGCCACGTCTCCATCAGGTCTCTCAGCATGCCATGCCACGTCTCCATCAGGTCCTCATGGATGCCCAGAATCTAGCCACTGCTTATCGTCCCCATCGCTATCACTTTGGCCCAAGCCACCTTCTTCCACTGGACTAACGCAGTTGTCTCCTACCTTGTCTCCCTGGTATCTCCTCTTCCACAACCCCTCCCTCTTCCACGGCAGTCAGGATGATCTTCTTGAAATGTGAGTCAGAGCCCTTTCAGTGGCTTCTCACAGCACTTTGGTTTCTGCCTAGATATCACCTCATCAGAGAGCTTCCCTGATCACCCTGTGTATGTGAAACAGTGCCTGTACCTCCGTCTCATCACTCTGTCCCTTATCCCTTTTACCTGCTTGGATTTTTATTTTTTTTAGATGGAGTCTTACTGTGTTGTCCAGGCTGGAGTGCAGTGGTGCAGTCTCCGCTCACTGCAACCTCTGCCTCCTGGGTTCAAGCGATTCTCCGGTGTCAGACTCCCAGGTAGCTGCGGTTACAGGCATGCACCAGCATGCCAGGCTAATTTTTGTATTTTTAGCAGAGAGGGGGTCTCACCATGTTGGCCAGACTGGTCTCTAACTCCTGACCTCAGGTGACCTTGGCCTCCCAAAGTGCTGGGACTACAGGCTAAGCCGCCACACATAGCCTGGATTTTGTTAAGAGTACCTAGCACCATTGGTGTGTTACGTAGTGGTGTGTTGACGGAGTAACACCCTCCCCGGAGACCCTAGGTAGGTGGGACCTGGGAGTCTAATTCGTATACTGCTTTTAGCTGTTTTCAGTTCACACCTCATTCTTGTCTTGCAGGATGACTGCTCCCAAAGCTCTTGGGGCTTCTGTGGGAGAGATGGTTTGCTATGCGTCAGCTTACCTCTGAGAGAGTTTCTGCTCAGGGAAGTCAGTTACCAGATTTTTGGCTTACTGTTTATTAAAGATCAAAATATCAAAATATTGGCTTCTGTTTATGTGGTTCACTTTTCTTTTAGAGGTCTGTTTGTGCATACTATATTTCTGTAATGTAGTTTAAATGGGTCTCAGCAGAGGATACTGATAATCATGTTTAAATCTCTCCATTCTCTCTGTTCCTACTTTCAAATCACGTTTAGTCTCCATCTCAACCTCCCTAATGGGCATAAATCTTATAGCATTGTAGGTGTTTTTCTCTTTTTTCCCCAGAAGTCATTACAATGTTTAGATGTTTGATTTATGAAATTAGATATTGTAGAAAAACCATCTAGCATAGAAGAATAGTGGCGGCTACTCTGCATAGCAGCTGAGTACTACTGAGCCAGGAGGAGTAGCAAGCTGCACGGAGGGGCCTGGGCAAGAGGAGCCTTTGGGTGTAGTGAGACCATGCTACTTGGGATACATAAGAAATGCCTTTAGTTTCAGTCCCTTGAGCTAAACTGTTATAAAAATGCAATTATTTTGTGCTAATTCTGTGAGTATCAGCTTTCGTTTATTTAGCATTTACCTGATACGTTTTTTCATTTCTTCATTTTCTAATTTGTATTTTCTCTTTGGTGTATCTCATGAGTTTCACAGTGTCTTAGTTATGTTTTCAGTATGTTTCTTCTAACAACATATTGCTGTGTGTGTCTCTCCTGGTGTGTTTTTGATCACAGCAGTTTGAATTATGGCTGCTGTCATGTTGTTTGTCGTGCATTTTCCATGCTATCTTGTGCCTTCCAGTTGCCTTGGATTTGTTGGATTGAATATGTTCTTTCTCGGTCTGGCTTTCTTCTACTGTTTTGGAAGTCATTCTTACCCTCTTCCCCGCACTCTCCCTACATTTTCAGTGCTTGACTGCTTTTAGGTGGTTCACAGGCACACTGAGCTTTCCCCTTAAACCAGAGTCTAAACAGTGGCATTTTCTCTTTTCCCAAATGAAAGATGTTTCTTTATACCTTCATTTTCTGTGATTCTCATCTGTTTGCATCACATACATGCTTAAATCATAGCTGATTATAATTTTAGTTCAGATGTGTTTGAAGCAGTATTTAGGTTTATGTTCTGCTGATTTCAGTGCTCACCATTCTACCCAGCTTCCCACTAAATCTGTGTCTTAATGTAGTTCCTATAGGATGTAATTTTTTAAATTTAAAACAATTGTTCCATTTTTTTTTAGAGACGGAGTCCGGTTCTGTTGCCCAGTGTAAAGTGCAGTGGCACAATCATGGCTGACTACAGCCTCCAACTTCTGTGCTCAAACAGTCCTTCCACCTCAGCCTCCTGAGCAGCTGGGACTACAGGCAGGCACCGCCATGCCCACAGATTTTTTGTTATTTTTAGAGATGTGGTCTAACCATGTAACCCAGGCTGGTCTCAAACTCCTGGCCTCAAGTGATCCTCCCACCACAGCTTCCCCAAGTGCTGGGATTACAGGCATGAGCTGTCACACTCGATGAATATGAATTCTCCAGGGAAAATGTCTCTTATTTTCCCCATTTTTGCCTTTGAGTTTGGCTGGTATAAGATTTCAGAATCAGCATTATTTTTTCTCAGTACTTTATTTCTCTCCCACTTTCAGGCAGCATTGTTTTTCCTTTTAGTTAGTGATCTGGTGTTCTCTTTACACGTTATTTTCAGAAGTTTCATTACTGTCTGCTTAAATTTGGACCTTTTATTTTTTGTTAACTTATCTTGCATTTCAGTGTGAATTCACATATTTGTCTTCACTCCAGGAAAATTTTCAGATCATATTTCTTCGAACATTGCCCTATCACTTCTCTTATTTATGTAAACCTACATTGGCAATTCTTCTATAAACCAGGAAAATCATTCCGGGTTTATTTTGTTCTTACTTGTTCACCCATTATAGCCATCGCTGTGGTTTGAGTGTATCTTCCAAATTTCGTGTGTTGGAAATGTAATTGCTAAATTTATTTGTTGGTGGTATTTGGAGGTGGGACCTCTGGGAGGTATTTCGGATTAGATAAAGTCTTCAGAGCAGGGCCCGTATGATGGGATCAGTGGCTTTATAAGGGTAGGAAGAGAGACCTGAACTGGCATGCTCCCTGCCTCTCATCATGTAATGCCTTCCGCCAAGTTATGACATGGCAGGAAGGCCCTTAGCCGATGCCAGCACCATGCTCTTGGGTTTCCTGGCGTCCAGAACCTTGAGCTAAATGAATATTTTTCTTTATAATTTACCCAATTTCTGATATTCTGTTTTTAAAATAGAAGATAAAGACAGCAATCTTTTCTGTTTCTGAAATCTTTGCAGTTACTTGAATTGACCAGGTTCTACCGTGTGTTCTGTGTGATGCTTCCTCTTGGTACAGGGACTGCAAATTATGTCCCAATCTATTTTTTTTCCTTTCTTTCATAATAGATTTGCCAGTTTTTCAGTTGGGCATATACAGAAATAGAGACTACATTTCTGAATTTCCCTGCCGTTGCCTCCCAGCCCCCACTCTCTGCTGTTCCTTAGAATGCTGATGTGATGACTAGAGCCATCTCAGACTGGATTACGCTGGAAGTGGAAGCCATGTCAGGTGGAGCAGGAGATGGAAGCCCCAGACCAATTGCCTTTAGATTCCTACAAGTAGAAGGAGAAACTCTCGTTTATCTCCCGGTTGTTCTCAGTTGAACCCCGTTCCAAATACCTCCTGAATTGCCCTTTCCACCCCAACTTCTTGAGGAACACATCGTGAATCTTCTAAGACCACTTGAGTGTCTGTCCTCATTTCTGTCAACAATGTACCCTGGACATGTTTTTACAAAGGACTCAGAACCTTATTTTATTTGCATGTATAAATGTTCATTTCCATCTACATGATAGAAAGCTTCTCGAAGACACAACTGGATTTTATTCATCCTGAAATCTTCAGGACCCAAAAGAGTACTGGCAGATAGGAGCACCTTGATTGATTTTTAATTCTCTCACAAAGTAAATGCTGGACCAGGCACAGGAGATAGTCTGTAGAGGAACATTTATCCTTTCCCAGTTCCTCTACATCTTTTCCATGTCACCTAATGTAATTGCGTCTAATTGAATAGGGTGTGTATTATTTCAGGGATGGTTGTCATTCAAGGATATATCTATGGAGTTCACCTGGGATGAGTGGCAGCTACTGGATTCTACACAGAAATACCTGTACAGAGAGGTGATACTGGAAAACTATCATAACCTGATCTCGGTGGGTGAGTACTGCTTCTCTGCTTACCTCAGATAGTGAGTAATACATTGCTATCCCTTTTTTGTTGTTGTTGTTGACCTACTCTGGGACCTCTAAAGTGCTTAAGGATTATGAACTTCAACTTCAGAGGTTAAATTTTCTTAGTCCCTGTTTGGCCCTCACTTTCTAGTCATGGTCTTTCTCCAAGTGAGATGAGCAGTTTGGTTCTGTAGCTCTTGCTTCCTCGGTCCTGTCCCTGACCCTGGTCCACAACCTTTGTGATTTCCCATCAACAGGGTATCATGGTGCCAAGCCTGACTTAATCTTCAAGTTGGAACAAGGAGAAGATCCGTGGATAGTAAATGCCAAAATTTCCAGGGAAAGCTGTCCAGGTGGGTGAGTGAGAACAAGGAAGGTGGGAGGAGTGGGAGTGAACTGATGAGTCCCTGAGGAGTGGGCACTTGCAGCGTTGTCTACAGAAATGCTTCTGGACGTCCTTGAACTAATGGAGCTGACTCAGGATGAAGCCATGAGCTCCTCAGATAAGGAAATCACCGTCACTCTTCATATATTTTGGTTTTTCTTCCCCTTTATTGTTGAGAGGGAGGCATGTCCCCTGTTCCCTGAACTCTGCTCAGGATTTGCTTTTGGGTCAGTTTCCCTCCTTCCCATGGTCATGGGTGTCATTGGGGAATCAAGACCTTCAGGGGATTTCTTTTTCCTCTCACTTGGTGTGGCTCATGGCCCTCCATTTCCTTCCATTTCATCTTTAGTCTTCTGCGGTTAAATCCCCTTTAAGTGAGTGATTTTGCACACCTTATGCTTCCCTTCTGTGCTGTCCAAAGGGGCATTTTTTCCAAGTTCGGCTGTCCTCTCCTATGTTGTAACTTTCGAAAGGCTCTTCCATTCTGAAGGTTTAAGCTTTGCCCCCAGTGTCCGTCTTTCTCTTCGGCACTTGAGTCCTGTGTTTTACATGCTGAGGGGTGAGCTCCCCCATGCTTTCCCAGACTTCACTTCCAGTGTCGGAAATGGGGATTTCCTTTTAAAATTACCATTCTTCCTCAGAGGAAATGGCCAGAGTCCTTTGTTTTCTTCCACAAGTTTCTTTCTTAGTGTTTCCATCTCTGAGGAGCAGGGCACCATGCTGGTCAGGCTCTTGGTTCCTCCCCTTCTCTGCTCCACGTCCAGTCCCTCAGCAGATCCTCTTAGTTCTCTCTCCCATGTGCTCCAAATTTCCTCAGCTCCAGACACGTGTTAGGCCATTCTTGCATTGCTATAAAGAAATGCCTGAGACTAGGTAATGTACAAGAAAAGAGGTTTAATTGGCTCACAGTTCTGTGTGGTGTACGGGAAGTACAGCAGCATTTGCTTCTGGGGAGGCCTCAGGTAGCTTCCAGTCATAGTGGAAGGCAAAGGGGGAGCGGTCACGTCACATGTGAAAGCAGGAGCGAGAAGGAGGCGGGGGGGGCTGGGGATGGGCCACATACTATTAAATGACCAGATCTCACAGGAACTCATGTCACACGTGAAAGCAGGAGCGAGAGGTAGGTGTGGGGGGGATGGGCCGCATACTATTAAATGACCTCACAGATCTCACAGGAACTCACTGTCATGAAGACTGTGCAGCCATGAGGGATCTTACCCGTGACTCAGATCCAGACACCTCCCACCAGGCCCCGCCTCTGGCATTGGAGATTACAGTTCAGCCTGAGACTTGGGCGGGGACAAATATCCAAAGTATATCAAGTGTAGTTCAAATTATTATCTCATCCTGGACTGCTACAAGAGCTTTCTAAAGTATTTCTCTGCTCATTTCTTACTCAGTTTTTACAGAATAGTCAACTGATCTTTTATATGCAGAAGACTGAGATTTTCTGAAATTAAAAACCTTTAGGCTGGGCACAGTGGCTCACGCCTGTAATCCCAGCACTGTAGGAGGCCAAGGCGGGCAGCTCGCTTGAGCTCAGGAATTTGAGACCAGCCTGGCTAACAAGTGAAACCTCATCTCTACTAAAAATACAAAAATTAGCTGAGCATGGTGGCATGTGCCTATAGTCCCAGTTTCTCAGGGGGCTGAGATGGGAGGATTAACTTGAACCCAGGAGGTTGAGGCTGCAGCAAGCCAAGATTGAGCCACTGCACTCCAGCCTGGGTGACAGAGTAAGACCCTGTCTCAAAAAAAAAAAAGTCTTAAAAATGTAAACAACTTTTTACCATGGTTTTGAGTAATTTGGTTCTGCTTTCATTCCATTCACTCAGTGGGTTTTAGCTGTCCTGGCCTTTTTCTATTTCTTAAACCCTGCCAATCAGGCTTCCTCCTCAGGAACTTTGTACTTGGTATTCCTTCTGCTTTCTTTTCTTTTTTGAGACAAAGTCTCACCCTGGCTGGATGAGTACAGTGGCATGATCTCAGCTCACTGCAACTTGTGCCTTCCGGGTTCAAGCAATTCTCCTGCCTCAGCTTCCTAAGTAGCTAGGACTACAGGTGTACGCCACCATGCCCAGCTAATTTTTTGTATTTTTGGTAGAGATGGGGTTTCACCATGTTGCCCAGGCTGGTCTTAAACTCCTGAGCTCAGGTAATCCACCTGCCTCAGCCTCCCAAATTGCTGGGATTACAGGCGTGAGCTACCTCTCCAGCCTCAGTTTCATCTTTAATGTCTCATTCTCACCCTACCTAAATGTCATGCTGTAGTTATTTTGTATCCTATGAATTCATTTTTTAGTTAGGTAAAATCTTGCAATAATAAAATTCAGATATAAAATAATCAGCAATTGGCTTCCAAGTACCAACTTTATTATTGTTGTTGTTATTTTTTGAGACAGTGTCTCACTCCATCACCCAAGCTGGAGTGCTGTGGTGCGATCTGGACTCACTGCAGCCTCTGCCTCCCAGGTTCAGATGATTCTCCTGTTTCAGCCTTCCTAGTAGCTGGGATTATAGGGGCCCGCCACCACGCCCAGCTAATCCAAGTGCCAATTTTAAACCTCTATTTTGAAAACTGTTTTTGGTTTCTGGTAATTTGCCACCAGTTTTCATGGGGAGGCCTGCTTTGGTTTGTTTTGATCCCGTTCCCTTGCCCCCATGCTTGCCCGATATTTCTTTTGAACCAGTGTCATGCGCTTGTTATGAAAAGAGAAAGATTGATGACATGGCAGTCCTAAAGCTCTTTAATTCCATGTCAGGTTTATGTGATGATTCAGAAAGTTATCTTTTGTTTGTTTTTTTCTAGATGGCTGGGAAGAATGGTACCAGAAAAACCAAGATGAGCTTGAAAGTGTTGAAAGAAGCTATGCTTGTAGTGTGTTGGGAAGACTTAATCTGAGCAAAACCCACGATTCTTCAAGACAAAGATTCTATAACACACATGGAAAAAGTTGGACACAAAACTCAGCTTCAAGCAGAAGTTGTTTAAGAAAGAATCCTGATAAGTTTCATGGTTATGAAGAACCATATTTTCTTAAGCACGAAAGAGCTCATAGCATAGAAAAAAACTGTGTGTGCAGTGAATGTGGGAAAGCTTTCCGTTGTAAATCACAGCTCATTGTACATCTCAGAATTCATACAGGAGAGAGACCTTATGAATGCAGTAAATGTGAAAGAGCCTTCAGTGCCAAGTCAAACCTTAATGCTCATCAGAGAGTTCACACAGGAGAAAAGCCCTACTCATGTAGTGAATGTGAGAAGGTCTTCTCCTTCAGGTCACAGCTCATTGTCCATCAGGAAATTCACACAGGAGGGAAGCCCTATGGTTGCAGCGAGTGTGGGAAAGCCTACAGTTGGAAATCACAGCTGATTTTACACCAGAGAAGCCATACAGGAGTGAAACCCTATGAATGTAGTGAATGTGGGAAAGCCTTCAGTTTGAAGTCTCCATTTGTTGTGCACCAGAGAACTCATACAGGAGTGAAACCCCATAAATGCGACGAATGTGGGAAAGCCTTTCGGAGTAAGTCCTATCTTCTTGTTCATATTCGAATGCACACGGGAGAAAAACCCTATCAATGCAGCGATTGTGGAAAAGCCTTCAATATGAAGATGCAGCTCATCGTACATCAGGGAGTTCACACAGGAAATAATCCTTACCAATGCAGTGAATGTGGGAAAGCCTTTGGTAGGAAGGAACAGCTCACTGCACATCTGAGAGCTCATGCAGGAGAGAAGCCCTATGGGTGCAGCGAATGTGGGAAGGCGTTCAGCAGCAAGTCATACCTTGTTATACATCGGAGAACACACACTGGAGAGAGACCCTATGAATGTAGTTTGTGTGAGAGAGCCTTTTGTGGAAAATCACAGCTAATTATACATCAGAGAACTCATTCAACTGAGAAGCCCTATGAATGTAATGAATGTGAAAAAGCCTATCCTAGGAAGGCATCGCTGCAGATACATCAGAAAACTCATTCAGGAGAGAAACCTTTTAAATGCAGTGAATGTGGAAAAGCCTTCACTCAGAAGTCATCTCTCAGTGAACATCAGAGAGTTCACACAGGAGAGAAACCATGGAAATGCTCTGAATGTGGGAAATCCTTCTGTTGGAACTCAGGGCTTCGTATACATCGGAAGACTCACAAATGAGAAGTCAGGATGATGCACCTGTGAGAAACTGTCACAGAGGCTGATTTCAGGAGACTTTAGATAATAGAGACAGGATTTACAAGCAGGAGGCCCTAAAACTACACTCATGTCAAAAATCATGTAGGAGAGAGACCAACCATATTTGGGATGAGTGTAAAAGCCTTCAGAAAGGAGTTGCAAATCTTTGTAGATGAAAATAATTGAGGGAATGAGGAGCAGTAAATGTATGAAATGTTGTAGCTTATTATGAAAGTAATCTGGTATCTGGTAAAGGATACCAGAGTATCCTTTTCTTGCTAAGAAATCCACATTTCTAAATTATCCACATGAATAAATTAGGGAAGCATTTTCCCATGGAAAGCGTGTTCCGTGGAAAGTCACATTCCAGATTTGAAGCTATGTTTTTGTAAAATAAAGAAAATCTCAGTTATAAACAGTTGACTTTTCATGGTGGAGTTTAAAGGTTTTTTGTTTGTTTGTTTTAATATGTAAATAAAGTAATGATCAGGAAAACTGCAGGGAATAGATTCTTAAGGGATATTTAATGTGACTTCCCAGGGTTAACACTGAATAGCATTTCTAAAATTTTTAGTATTTTATTTTTTAATGTAACTTGTTCTATCTCTCTCTATATTTGATAGTTTGTGGAATAACATCCCCCAGTATTTTCCATATTAAATACGAATTGTCTTTTTATTTCTTTTTCATAAGCAGAACTGGCGGTTTACTACAGAGCTGCTGCTTGAGAAAACACATTATAATGACCATTTATTATATGTTGGCAGTTCTGTGTCTGTTCTCCATTAATTGAGCTGAGCACCCTGTTTTCTCTGGAGAAATACCTCCCCTCTCTGGGGTGCTTCCTGTGGTGTCTTTCAGGGTATCCTTTCCACTAGCTACAGGTGAGCATTTTACCCATTGCTGGATAATGGTAATCTCTTTTTCAGAATTTGGAGTCTGTAATTCATTCACACATGAACCAGAAATGTCAGAACTCATTCATTCTTGTCCCAGAATTCTGTTGAGACCATCCATTCATTCTGACAAATTGATTACAAGAATAACTGTGGATGCTATCCCTTCAGAACCCGCTTCTCTTATCTTTGTGCTTCCTTACTTCTCAATAAAAATGTCTTTTGCTTTTTGTTGTTTGGGTTTTTTATTTTGTTTTGCTTAATTTAAGGAGAATGACTTTCTATTTCTTATAACCTAAGGGCTTTAATTGGTAAGTTTTTGCCTTGGTAGGGTGTAGTTAGCAAAGTGGGATATATGATTTAGGTTTTTCAAATATGTTCAAATATAAACATATTCTTGTTTATATTTGAAGGTAGGAACTTTTAGCCCATCATGTGAAATAGTGTTACTGATTCTGTACACCTAGAACATTGTAGTCCCTGATGGTGAGATTTTGGAAACACTGAAGAACTATATAGCCTTATAAGAATTTTAAATTTATGAGAAAATCTGGGGCAGGAAAGGAGATGGCTGATTTTGACCATGGCAGATCTTAGGCCATGAGAATGACAAGCTTGAAGCCCTGAGATCACATCTCAAGGTGGCGTATCAGAGTCAGCAACTTGGACGTTGCTGAAATAGTTTCATCGTTAAAGGCCGAGGTACAGTACATGCAAATGCTGTATGTAGCATAACATCATTGTTAAAGGCCTAGGTACAGTACATGCAAATGCTGTATGTAGCATAACATCATTGTTAAAGGCCGAGGTACAGTACATGCAAATGCTGTATGTAGCATAACATCATCGTTAAAGGCCGAGGTACAGTACATGCAAATGCTGTATGTAGCATAACATCATTGTTAAAGGCTGAGATAAAGTCAAACCTCTCCTGAATTCCTGACAAACAGAAACCATCAGAGATAACACCACCTTTGTTGCTATTTGTGGTATAAATTTTGAGGTGATATTTTAGACCATAGCAGTGATTGGAATAGAAATTTAGTGTTGGAAGTGGGGTGCTATCATTTGCATCACTGGCCTTGGCACTGGATGATGAGCAGAATCTGAAAGGCCCTTTCAGAGCACAATTTGAGTAAAATATCAGTAAAGCCCAACGGGCTTGGGGGAGGGTGTTAGAGTCTAAAAGTCATCAAGGAGGTTGCTGGTGAGGGCTTGAAGGAACACAAGGAAAGCATTATTGAAACGTGGAGAAAATGAGACTTTGTTATGCAGTGACAGGAGGTTTATCCACACTGTTACCTACTGTAAATTGAAAATAGAAAATGTACCTAATGACCTCAATGATATAGCTAAGTGTTTTCTAAGCATAGTGTTCAGGATGCTACCTGGCTTCTCATTGCTTATAATAAAATGAGACAGGAAAGAGAACTAAAAATGAACCATTCCATGGAGGAAATAATTAAATGGGCCAGAACAGTCTTTTCAGCTTGTAAAGTAAAAAAGCTCTTCAGTGAGAAGATGGAATCCAAGGTTGGCTACAGGACTCATAAGATTTCAGAAAGATCTAAATAGGTACCTCCTGACTCTCTTCAATGAATAATTGGACAGGACTTCTAAGGACTTGAGGGAATGCTTCCATGGGCCCTCTCTGATAAGCAACAGAACTGCTAAGAATTTTAAGGGTGAGGTCCCACAAAAGGCCTACAGAGAGCCATGGTAGAGAAAGTCTTATTTCTTTCCTCCCTCTCTCTCTCTCTCTCTCTCTCTCTCTCTCTTTTTTGGAGATGGGAGTTTTGCTGTTGTCACCCAGGCTGGAGTGCAATGGCACAATCTTGGCTCACTGCCATCTCCACCTCCCAGGTCCAAGTGATTCTCCTGACTCAGCCTCCAGAGTAGCTGGGATTACAGGCACCCACCACCATGCCCAGCTAATTGTATTTTTTTTTTTTTTTTAGTAGAGACAGGGTTTCTCCATGTTGGTCAGGCCGGTCTCGAACTCCTGACCTTTAGTCATCCACCCGCCTCGGCCTCCCAAAGTGCTGGGATTAAAGGCATGAGCTACCGTGCCCAGCTGAAAGAAATCTCTTATTTCTTAAGAGATTTTTGGGGTATGGCTTTTGTTTAGTGGAATGGGTTGCACACAGATAAAAATCCCACACATTTTTAAAAACAGTGATACTACTTGACAGGGCAAACTGCATAAAAAAAGGTATTTGAACTCTCAACCTTTTCGCTCAGGAAGGAGGTTGAGAAGGATACTCAGCTGCAAACATGTTCACATTTTATGAAAAACAATGGTTGACTCAGCAGAACCAAGATCCAGAGGGTGGAACAAAGAGCCATGGAGAACTCCAAGAAAGCAGAGCCAAACCCTAATCACTCAACTGGTATTGGGAACCCAGCAGGATTCAGGGGTTTCTATGGAAGAGTGGCTACTGTGCCTCCTCTTATTGATAGTTTTTCTATGTCTGTCCCACTGTTATGTTATGGGTGTGTACGATGAAAATAACTTGTCTCATATTTCACAGGCATTCAGATTGGGAGAAATAGCACCTCAGGAACTGCGTCCGAGGGAGCAATCCTGCAGAGCCCCGTCGGCACGAGACCCTGGACTTCAATCTGATAATATAACGGGATGAGACATCAGGGATCTGGGCAGACTGTTTCCAAAGATGGCAAAAGCAGTATCTTTTACTGCACATTCTCTTCTACGGCATAACTGCTATTTCTCCCTTGAGACTTGAGGTTGACACCAGCTCCTTGAATCTGGGTGGACTCGT